CCATGGCCGAGTTCCGAGGTGGGCGTGGTCGGGTCGCACTGGCCAGGTCCAAGTTACACCGGCCGGAGACCAAACCTTCACCCCGTGGTCAGACTTTGCGTTTCTCCGGGCAGGAGTGCCCCTAGAAAAGGTCTTCAGACATGATGTGGTTTACGCAGATGCCTCAACCACCGGCTGGGGGGCCAGTGGTTGAGGCCGCTGGGGCCGCTGTTCTTCTCCCTGACCAAGGGAACACTCGGCACTGGCACACATCTAGCCGCGGGGCCTTCGCAAATATGCGTTTCCCCCAGTGAGCCTTCTTGCACAGATACTGTGCAAGGTCAGGGAGGACGAGGAGCAGGTCCTGTTGGTGGCACCCTATTGGCCTACCCGGACCTGGTTCCCGGAACTAATGCTCCTCACGACAGCCCCTCCTTGGCCAATTCCTCTGAGGAAGGATCTACTGACTCAGAGACGGGGCACCCTTTGGCACCCGCATCCAGACCTCTGGAAACTTCATGTCTGGTCCCTGGACGGGACGCGGAGGTTCTAAGTGATCTACCCCAAGAGGTAGTGACACCATCACTTCAGCGGGAGCACCGTCTACGAGACACGCTTACGTTTTGAAGTGGAACCTGTTCGTTGAGTGGTGTTCTTCTCACCGAGAAGACCCCCAAAGATGCCTGATCAGAGTCGTGCTGTCCTTTTTGCAGCAAGGGTTGAAGCGAAGGCTGTCTCCCTCCACCCTCAAAGTCTATGTCGCTGCAAGCACTGCTAACCACGACCCCGTAGAAGGGAAGTCGCTGGGGAAACTTGACCTGGTCATCAGGTTCCTTAAGGGGGCGAGAAGGTAAATCCTCTACGGCCCCCCTCTATACCCTCTTGGGACCTGACACTAGTGCTCACAGCACTACAGCAGGGCCCATTTGAGCCTTTGCAGGCGGTCGAACTGAAGTTTCTGTCAATGAAAACTCTGCTTCTGCTTGCATTTGCCTCCATCAAGAGGGTAGGGGACCTGCACGCATTTTCGGTCGACGATTCGTGCCTAGAGTTCGGGCCGGCTGACTCCCGGGTAACCCTGAGGCCC